GGGGGGGGGGGGGGGGGGAACATAGGATTGCTGGCTGTAGAATTCTGGAAGTTGAACTCTATGCACCTTCAAGCAGCTAAATTGAGAAACACTGGATCAAAGAAACATGTTGACATCAATCATCGTTAACAAGGATTTGGTAAACAACAAGAACTTTATGGTAAGATTGAAATGTTTGTTGCTGAAGCACTGAAAGCGCTTGGATCTGAGCAATATTCCCAGCAAGGGGCATCTCACCTTTTGTCCGTTTCGCTTTTAAAATGTCACCTTTTTCTAATGCCCGTTTTCTTGGCATGTTTCTTTAAAGCTGCAGGACAGAAGAGGGGGGGGGGGGAGAACATACCTCCTCAGTGGAAGGAATCTCAATATGTTAACATCAAAACAAATTTCATTACAGTAGACGGTAGAGAGGCCAAGGAGAAACTAGTAATACAATTCAATATAATGCAAATGTAAAACAATGTAATGTATAGGAATCTACCTGTGTGTGTGTGTGTGTGTGTGTGTGTGTACACGTACGTGTGTGTGTTCCAGCATAACTCTGGAATGCCTCAAGCAATTTCAGCCAAACTTGGTACACAGATGACTTACTCTCTGGAAACGTAAGACATCCCTAACACCCCTCGGTGTGGGTGGGTATGTCTGTGTGTCTGTGTTCCAGCATAACTCTGGAATGCCTGGGCCGCTAAAATGAAAAGGAATGAATTATACCTATAGTGTCAAATTACAGTACTTTTGACAGTGATAGTGTGGATTTTGGATGAAAGGCTTGTTAAGATACAGCCTGTTGTGCCTTAAATTGGCTTCTACTGTACAGCACAGTGGAGTTGCCGTGGTAACGGCTTACAGTACTCCACAAGGAGGCTCCCTCTGGTAAGGGAGATTTGTTCCAGGCAATGCCGGGTTATCAGCTAGTAATAGATAAAAAACAAGTGAAGAAACCTTTACATTTAAAAAGATGCAATCACTGGATGAACCTAAAAACACGTCAAAACACTTACCAGTAGCATCTAATACCTTTCGATTTTTTTATTTTATCACTTATTTTATTCTACAGGTAGTCCTCAACTTATGACCGCAATTGACTAAGCAAGACATTCCTTAAGTGAGTTTTACCCCATTTTACGACCTTTCTTGCCAAGGTTGTTACATGAATCGCTGTGGTTGTTAAGTTAATCACACAGTTGTTAAGTGAATCTGGCTTCCCCCATTGCCTTTGCTTGTCAGAAGTCCAAAAAGGTGATCACATGACCCCCCCCTGGCACTGCAACTGTCATAAATATGATTTTGATCATGTGACCATGGGGATGCTGCAACAATCATTAAGTGTGAAAAACAGTCGTAAGTCACATTTTGTCAATGCCGTTGTAACTGTGAATGTTCACTAAATGAACTGTTGTAAGTCAAGGACTACCTGTATTTTATTGGCCTCTTAACTTTTGCTCGTTGAGAACTTCATTTACATTGTTCCGTGTAAAAAAGATAAAAGTTAGGATTAAAACGTCTTAAATAAAACTTGCATCTTTCAATTAGTAGAGAACAAAGAAGGATGTTTTTAACAGCAGCTGTATAAATATAATTGAGTTTACTACCTATATCAGTGATGGCGAACCTTCTTGGCACCAAGCGCCCAAAACGGAATGTACGTGCATGCGTGCCTCAGCGCCAAAAACCCATAGATCAGTTGGCGGGTGCGCAGATGTCTGTTTTTGGCCAATTTTTTGCTGTTTTGGGGTCATTTTTGACCTTTTTTCAGACTGTTTTTGGCCTGAAAACGACCCAAAAATGGGGTTTGGGGGCTGTTTGGGGGGCTGTTTTCAGGCCATTTTCCGGCGCTCCAGCATCTGCGAAGGCCAGCTGTGCATGTGCATGCTGGAAACCAAAAGAGCAGCTGGCGCACATGCCATAGGTTTGCCATCACGGACTTAGATCCTAATAAAAGTGTTGTTATCTAGTAGCACCCTATAAATTTTAAACGCTGCTGCAAGGAAGCTTGGCAACACTCGATGTAATAAAATAATTACTGTCAGAAAGCAGTAAAATCAAATTAAATTGGCTTGAGTGATAAAAGAATTGAAAATATCACTATAAAATTGGCCATGAAAGCCATATTTGATTTTTTTTTTCAATTTAGACACTGCCTGACTCCAAACTGATTCCGGATAGTGTGTAATAAAGTCAAACCAAACAAAGAAAAATGCAACATAATAAAATTATTACAGAAAAGTGATAAAGAACAAGAATTTATGGCGAGTCCACACCCACAAGCAAACATAAAACTCGTCCCAATTATCGTAACCCAAGACCAGCCAGGACTGAAATGGGTCTGCGCGAATCACCTTAAGAGACAGGAGGGAGAGAAGCAACCTAGATAAAGGTTGAACAGATGAGTTGGAAGGAACCTTGTAGGTCATCTAGCCAACCCCCTGCCCAAGCAGGAGACCCCACACCCGTGATGGTAAACCTATGGCACGCAGTGCTCTCTCTGTGGGCACGCAGGCCGTCGCCCCAGTTCAGCTCCACTGCGCATGTGTGCCCACCTCTCACCAGCCAGCTAGTGTTCAGGTGTCTGCTGCGCATACGCAAGCGGAGGAGTTGAAGTTCTCAACTTTTAAAGCTGCCAAGTTGGGAGACCTCCCCCCACTCCTCTATACAGCAGCAGTGTTTGTTTCCAACTTGGCCATTTCTAGACAGGTTGAATTCTGGTTGAAGTCAACACAGAGATTACAGAAAAAAGAAAGAAAGAAAGAAAGAAAAAAAGAAAGAAAGAAAGAAAGNTATTTACACGACTGTGAATTCCTTTCATTCACAGTCTGCAAGGCTTAGCAAACAGTCTTTCAGAGGAAGATTTATCAACACGAACCTTATCTCGTTTGGAGAGCTGCCAGATAACTAGTTTCTAAAGGCAGCGCAAGGCAAAACTTGGCACAGAGTCTCTTATAGTCACAAACAGAACTTTCCACTCTTGAAACGACTGAAGGAACGAATTGTTCCCTGCAAAAGCCCACTCCCTGTTCGCTCCTCTTTTGTTTCCTATTGGGGGGGGGGGCAATCACCTCCAAGGTGTAGCTTTACTCCTGCTTTCTTAGTTGTTCTTTTCTTCTGGCAGCTCTGCCCATGCGTACACTAGGAACAGGCTCCAGCTGTTCTTCTGCCTCACTGCTGTCTAACTCCCTCTCTGCCTCCAACGCAGAGCCCTCATCTGAGCTTTCCTCAACCCCTAGGACTGGCCCATGTTGCTCCCCAACCTCCTCTCTGTCCGATTCTGCTGCCAGCTTTGCCGGTGGGCCACAACAAAAGTTCCATCTTATCCTGAGGGCACTGATTATATCTCAAGTCCTATGATGAACATCAACTCACCCAACTGGTAATAATTGGAGAGGCCAAACCCAACCACGTGTCCCTCCTGAGTGATAGCAATGGTGGAGTAAGAGCCGCAAAAGACGTCTCTGATGTTGCCTTTGGTCTTACAGCCTCTCTGCTTTATGGTGACCGCTTGGGGGAGCAACAGTCGCTCTGGTGGAAGAATGGAAAGATATTTAGGAAGAATCAGCGCAATATGCATGCATTATATTTAATTACAAGGGACAGGGTGGCTCAGTGGCTAAGACGCTGAGCTTGTTGATCAGAAAGGTTGGCAATTCAAATCCCTAGTGTCGTGTAACAGAGTGAGCTTCCATTACTTGTTCCAGCTTCTACCAACTTAGCAGTTCGAAAGCATGTAAAAATGCAAGTAGAAAAATAGGGACCATCTTTGGTGGGATGGTAACAGCAGTCCGTGCGCCTTTGGCATTTAGTCATGTTGGCTACATGACTACGGAGACGTCTTCGGACAGCGCTGGCTCTTCGGCTTTGAAACAGAGATGAGCACTGCCCCCTAGAGTCAGGAACATATGTGCGAGGGGAACCTTTACCTTTATATTTGATTAAGGATGGATTTCTGGTGCTTAGATACCACTTGCATGGCTAACCACAAAAAATATGTATTGTAATCACATTCAGCGAAGGCAAAAACAAACAGGACAAATTCAGTAGATAAAACCAATCAAATAAACTGCTGCTGAACCAAACACTACATCAGAGGAATTAAAATTAAATTCAATGCTGAACTCACCCAAGCCCCGTCTTCCTCCTCGGACCACAAAAATTTGGGGCACACGTCCCAGCTGACCATTGTCTCCACATCCACAGGTAAAAAGGTTGCCAGTATTGGACACTAAAGCCAAATGGTGGCTCCCTAAAAAGAGAACAAGTTGCTTCACAGATGGCTCAAAAAATCCCCCCCCCCTTCAACATTCTAATGCTGAGGAATGGGGATGTAATTCAGATGAGATACTGATATGTATGTATGTATGTATGTATGTATGTATGTATGTATGTATGTGCGTGCGTACATACACACATATACATAGACATACACACATATATATGTAAATATGGAATCTGACTTTTCATGAAGAACTCCATTATGACTCAGAAAGAGAGCTTTCTCAGGTGGATTGGAACAAAATCTATATTTCAGAAGTTAAAGAATTGATTCAGATGTGTTTTCTATCATTTTTGCAAGTGTTTTCTTACTGTAAAAATGAGACGCTGGAGCAGTATGGCCTCACGTGGTGTAGACTTAATAATAGCTTAAAATATAGGAGTGGTATTACATGGTCCTTTTCAAAGATGATTTTGATAACTTATTTATACATTTATGACTACCTTTTTTTCTCGCTACTAATACTACCACTGTTGTGCTATTTCTATCTTTGCATGCACTAATAAATAAAATTGTTTTTTAAAAAAAAAATATCTTTCCCTCCCCACTTCTGTCAAGGGGCAATGCTGAGTTAGAAAGTTTTGGCCTGCCAGAGGATCTGGAGAGCAGATTCGGGACAGTGAGGAGGTCGGGGAGGAACATGGGCCAGTCCTGGAGTCTGGGGAAGGCTCTGATGAGGGCTCTGTATTGGAGGCAGAGAGGGGGCCAGGGCCATATGCCAGTTATCATCTGCCTTCAGAGTCAGACATCAGTGGGGCAGATGAACAGCTGGAGCCTGATCCCAGTGTGCCCATGAGCAGAGCTGCCAGAAGGGAACAGCTAAGGAACAAGGGCCGACTCCAGAGTAAAGGAACAGGTGGACGGTGAATGGCCCCTCCCATAGGGAATAAAGAGGAGCGAAAGGGGAGTGGAGTTTGCAGGAGACAATTAGTTCAAGTCATTAGGNTGTAGTGTGGTGTCTTCAGGGTGATGGGTTCCCTTACTTCTATTTTAGGCAATGCGCTTTCAGCTACCCTATACAACACACGAATACAAAACTA